GAACACCTGTAGCACTTTCGTTTTTTTTAATATAGAGGGAAGTTATTGCTGATAAAAACACTTGAACTTCCTGATTGTTAGTTTCCCCAACCAGCCAGGTATCCTATTTAATGGTCCTGACTTTTAAACCCTTTTCTGCCAAGTTCTGTCCTGTCGTGCCACGGTCCCTGTCAAGTTTGGCCAAGAGCTGTGTGCATGTGTCCGCATCCTCCGACATGTCCACTAATTTGATGGACAATAGGGCCTTTGATCGATTGCCGTCGCTTGCTTCAAATCAGCCTGCTGGTATGTCATTAAGCCCACCTGCCAAGTCGAAGTAGTGTTCATCTGCACTCTTTCCCGGTTTAAAACATCCAGTGTGTCTGTTAAAGACTTATGTCAGCTAAGCAATTCTTTTAAGTTTTCCACTGTTTCCGTAAAGGCGATTTCGACTGGTCCCTTCGGCATCACGAGTTTGGCATAATTTTCGTGCTCCTCTGTCCTAGTTTCAACAATAGGACTTCAAATTTTTTCTCAATCGGCAAGATTTTACGTTCTCTCTCGAACAATAATTCATATTCCCAAATCACGCGTCAGAGCTAAGGCCCCTATCGGATTCATAGGTAAATTCTGCGATTCTCTCCCCCACCCATTTCCCTTTATTATCACTTTCCGTCTGCTTCCGGGCTCTTCGATTTTAATGAAACTGGCTTGTTGTGATTCCAACACTTTCTGCATTTGTTCATAATTGACAATTTAATGTGTCCACTTGCGCCGACGCTCGTTACATACCCCAGTAGCACATCACTTGTTGTTGCGTAGAACAGAGGACAGACAGAGATGGCAGAGAACTTTATTATAAAAATTACTGCGCGTACGCCACTTTTCAACTCACCTGTTCTCGGCGTCATATATTAGGCCGGTGCCTTTGTATGATTTCCGTAGTTTCATTCGTTGTCTTTTGAGGGCCACCGTGAGCAGACCAATTGCGGGTTGCCGGCGCCGGATGGTTGCGTATGGTTCGGTGGCGTGCGAATTGCTGACTTGCATACGGGCTTGGTAGGAGAGGTTAACCTGCGTCGTGGTGGCTCTCGCCGCGCGTGAATGCCGGACGACATGAGCGGTACATCGAGTTTCGGGGCATTCTGACACCCGCTGTTTAGGTATGGTCCTAGCACGTCCGATGATAGCCAGGTTTTTAGGTGACATGATACTGCAAATCCTTCATTACAATTCGCAGCCTGACATGAAATTCACGCATGAAACTCTCAAATCCATAGCAGAATTGTCAATCAAATGATTTGCTGTAACCTTAGTGAGATAATTGCAACCGTTCTCGTAGAAGGACATTCAACCTGTCGACTTAGTTGCTTATCGTGATAAATGAACCACTGACTTAATTAGCCGCAAGTTTCGAAGTTTAGGGGGCGAACATCAGAAAATCGAAGATGAACCCCCGGTCTGCTCGATGTATGCCGATGTCTTTCTGGTTGACTACAAGGTTGAGACAGACATGACATGTTCGACACTGCAGTGACCACACTGCCCGATGCTATTATGCAACTGTAGTAGTTGTGCCAGGACCTTTCAACGCCGAGATCCTTCTCTGATCTCTAGATCGACTTCCGGCTTTCATGTGATTCCCACACTGTGACCTATGGACTGGCTTGTACTTGGCTGACATCATACCTTATCCAAACGGTCTTGATAATGTCCCAAATCATACTTCTCCACGTTCGACGTTCTGCGGCAGCGAATCTGGAGAGCTAGATACGTTCTCTCTAGTGACTTAGACCGAGTGCCGAAGGCCCAAGACCCACTTCCATGTTTTGTCGTGCCAAGTTTTAGATTAATCTGTTCGGCGGTGCCGGACCAAGGGCAGCAACACTGAGCTCGCGAGACAGACGACAAAGAACATGCCCAAACCACCTCAGTCATCTTTCTTGGGTGACCTGAGATATCCGCATGATGTTTTGGTGAATACGGCTCTCATTTGGGACGAAGTCGGCGTACTTCACTCGAAGTATGGCCTTCAGGCAACGGTGTACGGTCACCTCCAATTTTTGTTTCGCATCCACGTGCGCATGCCACATTCACAACTATACAGGACTGATTGAACGAACGCCCGGTGCACGCGGACCTTTGCGGTAATAGAAATATCGCGTCTGATTCACAGGCACTTTCTACAGATTATGAAAACTCCACGAACAGCATCAATTTGGGATACGCTGTCATCCTTACTCCGTCTATTCGACAGCAATCTCGCCTTGATATATTTGAAACTGTCTTCTTCTTCAAGTTTGCAGCAATTAGCCCCGTGGGATGCCTTCCGCTGATCAGGCACGTAGCTCAAAAACTTTTTGGTCCTCCAGCTACCCATAGATATGCCGACCGATCTAGTGACCTCTATCATCCGCGACAGCACAGGCTGTAGGTCACCAAAGCTTGGGGCTAGTAAAGCAATATCGCCAACGTAATCGTGCTCAGTCAAACGGCGCGCGGGTTCATGTTCAAGGTTCTTTCAAGAATCTAGTCAGTGGAGTAGATGGAGAAGATAGGCGACAGGATACAACCTCTCCAAGTGCCGAAAGGTTGGAACAGATTGTCACGGACCAGAACTCGCTCAGTGGTTGAACGATAATAGACCTTGATCACGGCAATTATTTTTACCTTGCATTATCCGCCACGGGTACTCATAATGGACAGAACGGAATGCTGCGTCTAAGCCAACAAAGCTGGCTGCCGTCTGTTGCGTGTAGTCATGGCGAAATTTAAGAGTGCATCGCAATGTGAATATTTGGTCTGCGCATCTACGCTCAGCTCTGAACCCGACTTTGTTGGGTCTTGTCTCTTGCAATCCCATAAAAGGGACAGCAGCGAAGACCTTCGCAGCAAAATCAACAATGCTCATGCCGTGGTAGTTCTAGCACTTCGTCTTGCCTCCTTGAAGACAATTACAAGGATGCCCGAGCCCAAGTCATCGGGAGTGACCCCGTCCCGCATGCATACTTAATAACTGCATGGAACCAGGGCGCCAGTGTCGAAGTAAGATTTATCAATTTCAGTGAGAATGCCGTCATTGCTAAGCGTTATGTTGTGCATCCTCTGCTCCGCATTAGCGACTTGTCTTTCAGACGGGGCGACACGACACTACATAGGCTGAAGAGAGATAGAACTGATTCATAGGAGAGTGAGGGCGTGATGTGTCGACCACCGAAGTTGAGAAGGTGCTCGAAGCGCTCACACGCTCGCGTGACTTTGTTGGAGTTGTCAGAAATCAAAACCATCATTAACATCTCTAACAGAGCCCGTCGGTGCATTAGGTCTACAACTGACTTAGTAATTTAGTAGGCTTTCGAGTGTCACCAACGTTTGAGGCGTGCTCCACGGGGGTCTCCATTTCAGTCCAGTATCTTTTTCGACTATCTCTAACCGGATTTAACGTCACTTTCCGGAGCTTACGGGAGCAATCGTCTCTGTGAGACCTGACTGGAGCCGTCTGGGCGGACAATTGCAAGGTTTTTCCGCTGATCCAGTCACTGCGACGCCGCTAGATAAATCCAAGAATTTTTCCAGTCCCTTCATAGTCGGATGACTATGCTGCTTCCTTCTCCCTCGACCCGGGTTATAAAACGATACCGGGTTTCTGTGCTCAGGGCTTCGGCTGTGCTGGTTTGCCGTAGTTTTGCGTTATCAAGACCTCGTGTACGTAGCAATTTGGGTGAGGGTGGGAGGTGGAATTTCAGACGTTGGCGAATGAGCAAATGGTCCGACCCATGCGCGTTACCAGTTTCGGCACAACGCATCCATCTGCTATCGTAGACTCAGCTATTTTGAACCAATTCGAATGTAGTCGTTCCGACTGGCCGTATGCTCGTCATTTAGATACTAGGTCAGTAAGTGTTTATTTCGGTGTTTAAAGTACGTGTTGGTGGCAAGTGGTCAGCTCTGATTGGCAAAATTAGGATTTCTCTTACCATTGTTGCACCGAGTATCAAGCCAAAACGACCAGTAAAGTGACTGAAGAGTCGCCAGACACAGCCTGGCCATTCCAGTTCCCAACAACAATCAGTAGATCACGACCAGGTAGTCTTTGGAATAACTTTCTCAACTGCGATTAGAAGGTTTCTTTATCGCACTGGTCAGTAGCTGATGTCGGTCCGTAAACGGAGAGGACAAAGATGTTCGTAAAGTGACCCTCCAGTCGTACGTAAGCCAACCAGTAATTGATTGATTCCCACGGATGGCGTGATTTCCTTGCATCTGGTTATAGCAACTTTTCTAGTCCCTTCCTCCATGGGGAGGGGGTTAGCTACTTAAACATTCCAGACGGATGTCTGAATCCACTATGGGTCACGGCTTTGTTAAGTGGAAAGCGACCCACGTTGGCCTGGACTGCCTACGGCAGTGCACGTTTCCCCCTCTCTTGCTCTCTCCATAGGACCGTTTTAAGGTGGGAGGAAGGGGAGAACGGTAGGCGAACCATAATTACCTGGTGTGGGGGCACATCAACGGACTTTAGCCCGCCGGTCGAGGCGGTCATCAAGGCGTGGCCGCCAGGTAAAGCCTAACCTCGAGGGGCTAGAGATGAGAGTTGGGTGCCAGTTAAGGACTGTGTGAGGCAGCCACCATCTGCACAAGTCAAATTATGCGGCTTACCACACCTGCACCAAATACTTAAACACGGATGATTTTTGGTTTTCAACACGACGGTTGTTTTTATACTTCAGCATTTGTTCGTCTGAATCTGCAGAAGGGCCAATTTATAGCCCGGCTTTTTATACAGTTCAGATAATTACAACGAATGCTTCATTTAACCAGATCATTTTGCCCCGACTTGACCGCTTAAACTGCAGTTCACAGTACTCCACGCAATCATTCTCCTCAGTTTCGCGTCGCGAACTCTGACAGCATATTTCTACCGACAGCGTGTTTATTCATTTTCATTCTTTTTTAGCCCTTTTGCTACGATAGCTGGCTGACCTCGCGGTCCCTCCTCATGGAGAGCTAGACGAACGAACATGGATGCTAGCAATAATATTCATCCTACAGTAAGCATCATCACTGATTTCTCCCCCTCCCCCCACCCACGCTGTTTAACCAAACTTTTCTCCTCTACTTCATCTAGCGTCGGGTCTCCGACCGCAAATCGAAGCCTTCCATGGAGGCATTGGTAGACCACCACAAACGTATCTATTGGGGCGGTCCTTCAACTCCTGTTGGCAGCGCCTCGCGACACCACGAACAACCACAGCATCCAGTAAGTCATTCACTCTTTTTCTCCACTAACCTTTGATATGCAGGTTAGCCCGTCAGCGATTCAAATTTCCCTCAGCTCGCTGGACGGGAGTGATAGACCCAATGAGCATAACTCATTAGCCCAGGTAGGCGCGTGTTCCATTGCGTCGTCGGCAGTCGCACGGTTTGCACACGTTATGTCTGCGTCCTTTTCCCACTGCTGTTGCTACTTCTATTACTATTACTACGACTACCACCCCTGCACAACTACTCCCCTCTCCTCTTCCCATGTCTGTTGGCGTATGCATGCTTGTTTGCCCGCGTACTCGATCGTCCTCCTTGGTGTCTTCGTACATCCGGCAACTGTTTTGTAACGTTCTACACCTGTTGCATCTAATAATAACATTGCCACAGGTTCCCACAGTCAGAGATGGGAAACGTTTCATGAAAACACCTGAAAAGCCTCCCTCAGGTGACTCAGAATCGATCAGGAGTTTTGAGAAAAGTTCGCATGGGAACAGTAGGTATGCTGCCCGCCACAAAGAAATGAACATCAACCTCAAAGCAAGTTAGATATGGGATGCCGAGATAAAGCGACAAGGACGCAAAAATGGAACACCAAAAAATGGCGCCGCCTGTGTCCACCTCCCTTCCACATCTTCACTACCAGCGCACACTGAAGATTTGCATTGCCCTTGTCCGACACCTTTGCATCTACACCAACAGACTCAGAAGCAACTTAAACATTACGCCGAATTCTATCAGCCCGTCAGCCTAACCACACTGAATATGTGTTCTGGGTCCCTATCGTTCTGGTTGAACGTACTCACACTAACTTCAATACAGCTCACCAGTAAAATTCCAACCCTAGGAAATACGCAACCAACCACCGAATAAGGTCCTTCAATTTTGGTGTCTTTGGCTCTGAAATGCGACAGGACACCTAGGCATTCAATGCGATCACTGCAAAACCAGGTGTCGCGCGCGTTGTTACCAACTATCACTTTCAGCGTTTCACCGTTTAGTGGAATTCAACTCCTGGACCCGTTCTTCCTGTTTGGCGTCTATCTAGGCCCCAACCACCCACAGCCATAGCCTTCCACCCGGCAGTTCGAACATCGCGCCCGACGGTGTCTACCGTATGCTTCGCATTACGGCTGCGAAGAAATCCGTGCTCCTTTGCGTGTCCCGTTCTGAAGTGGCGCCGAGAGCGCAGTCGTCGGCGAAGAGAAGTTCATGGACGGAAGTTGCGGATACACGTGACCGGAAGTGTATCCGCCGATGATTGAAGGGTTTACCGTTCGTCCGGTAGGCGATGCGGATCCCAGAGCGTTCGCCACGGTAGGCGTCCATTAACATCAGAAAAAACGAGACTGCAGTGGGTGGGCGCGAAGACCCAGTCCTACTTCACTCCCTTGGTCACTGTGAATTCCTATGGGACGGCCCCATTGTCCGTGACGCGCGCCGTCATGCCATCGTGAAGTTAATGCACCTTCGGAGTAAATCTCTCGGAACAGCCGAATTTCTGCATGATTTTCCACACCTTCGCGATCTATTGTTTCAAAGGTTTTCGTCAGATCCACGAAGGTAGAATAGAGGTATATCCGCATATACTGACATTTCTCCTGTAGTTGGCGGACGGCAAAACTCACGTCGGTGGTGCCGCGATGACGGCGAGAGCCGCACTGGCTTTCCGGCAGGATTCCCTGTTCCAGATGGCCGTTAAGACGATTTAGGAGAAGGAGAGCGAAGATCCTTCCGGCGATCTTGAGCAGCTAGATTCGCCTGTGGGTGTCGCAGAGTTGGCAGTTCCCTTTCCACTTGTAGAGATGGAGGATTGTGGCGTCCTTGAAATCCTAGGGGACTTATCCTTGGCGCCACATCTCCTGGAAAAGTGCTGTCAGGTGATTCATGACTTGGGGGCCGTCGTACTTGTAGATCTGAACAGAGATCGCGTCTGATCCGAGCGCTTTCCCTCTGAGGAGCTGCTGCTCGACCTTCATGGTTTCGTGTAGATAGGGGGCGAAGTCGAGGTCGGCGTTGGTCTTCACTTGAGGCAGACGGACGATGGCGGCGTCGGAGATGGCAGAGGGACGGTTGAGGACCCCTCTGAAGTGCTCAGTCCATCGCTTCAGAATTTGCGCCTTCTCATTGCGCGGGATAGTTCTGTCGGCACTGAGAAGAAGAGCGGCTCCTTTGGCTGTGAGGCCGCAGACAGCCTTGATCGCAGCGAAGAAGTTCTTTCATGTGTTGGCGTCTGCGTACCCTTTGGTCTCCTCAGCTTTGGGAGTCGTCCGGGACCCCGTGCATTCCCCGCAGCCGCTGTTGCACAAGGCAGCGACCACGGTAGAAGGCTGTTCTGTCTGCGTCGATAGGGTTGTTGACATAGGCTTTGTGCAGCCGGTTCTCGGCGAGCAGGTTGCTGATGGCGGCGTCGTTGTCGTTGAATCAGTCCTGTTGTTGGCGACGTGCGCGACCGAGGGCAGTCATGGCGGTTGACTGGATCGTGTCCCTCGGTTGGCACCATGGGTCCTCCATGGAGGTGTCCTCGCCTTCGGCAGCGACGGCGGCTGGAAGGCTGGCTAGCCGCTGACCCAGCTCGTTGCAGACAAATTCAACAAAACAGTATTCAACTTACCTGGTGGTCGCTTATCTTGAGGTCTCCTGCGTGTCTGCCGCCGGATCCTCACCTTGGAGAGTACAAGGCTATGGTCGGTCCACCCGTCGGCACCCGGGATCGCCTGTGTCACAGGCACGTTCTGTTGTTCGGACGAGGACATGGTTCATCAGGTGCCAGTGTTGTGACCGAGGGCGCATCCAGGTCGCCTTCTCTCTCGTCGGGAGGCGGAAGGTGTTGGTCAGGATGAGGCAATGTTCTGCGCAGGTTCGCAGAAAGAGCAGGCCATTGTCACTGGGGCCGCCGAGACCATGGGGACTTGGCATTCCTCTTCAGGTAGCATGGTCTGTGCCGACGCGACCGTTGAAGTCACCAAGGACAATCAGCAGAGTTACCGTGTGTACGGATAGCCTCACCTGGTTTAGCCCGCCGGTCGAGGCGGTTACCGGGCTGTGGCCGCTAGGCAGAGCCTAGCTTCGGAGTCGCAGGTGAGCTTGGTGCTAGTTAATGGACCTGCAAGCAAGTGAGCGGCCTATGACCATCACGTGGACCCGCAACTGGACACCCCTACACCTCAGCGTTCTACCCAACTGCGAGGACACAGACCTGCCCCACGGTGGGCGTACACCGGATTGTACTCATCGGACACTTTCAGATACATTGTAACACCGAACTTCAAAGCAGTTTGCTCATCACCCAGACACAGTTCGATTACGACGAAAAAGCCATTTTTTATCTCGCACGACCTATTTTCCTTGTTAGCGTTGTCGTGCCTCCTGCTACCAATTTGTCCTATCTAGTCGGTGCTTGTTGAAAACGCATTTTTCTGCCAATTTATCCGTTATGGAGCTGAGTTCTACTTGCTAGCTATTCGAAACTCAGCCATAATCTAGGTTACGCTGTCTCGAGGATTAAAATTTGCACCCCGCTTCTTTCTGCATGTCTTGAGAAGCACTAGGGTCCCGTACGGATTGCGCGATGTTATCAAGAAACATTATAGAGGCCTCAGGTCCCCAAAGTGAGGGCTTTTCTTGGTCAAACAGAACCAAAGTCTGACCAGCTGAACTTCGTCCTAAGCAGTGGAGTTAGTAGTGGGAGTCCTTGCCCTTTCTTTGTCAGCCAACCGCATTTCTTGCTTAGTTCTTGTGGCTCCGAAAGCCACCAAGTCGAACGTGGAATTTCGGGGGAGTGACGTTCACATTTGTTCCTTAGAGGTTTTCACTTCGTATTTTGTGCGATTTTTGAACACCTGATGATTTTAGTCAAGGGTACTTTTCGTTAACAAATAAATGAAACTGTGGAGTATTCGAGGTGAGTTTGATGAACGAGTCACCATTGGCCGACAGTGAGTCGCCGAGCCAAGTTTGACAACCAGAGAATAAAATACGTTACAAATTGCCGAAGTGGATTTTAAAAAGTTTCGAAGACAGCAGAAGAATCTTCGTGCATGAGCAGTCATCTTTTCAATCCAACACTTCTCCCACCTTCCAAGCAAAGAACTGGTGTGTTCTGCAGAAGATAAAAGAGGATACAAGGTTGGCGGAATGTATTTAATGATTTGCGCCTTCGGGCCCATACGGAAGTTCACCTTCAGAAACCAAGGAAGCAACGACGAAACACAGAAGTTACGGTAATTTTCAATCAGCGGACGGCGAGTGTGGCTGGCTTTGAATGCGCTTGTAAGGTTTGACAGTCGGCCGTAGTTTGTCTCTGACCTCCAAAGACGGTTAGATAAACCCACTTTGTCCCTCGATTCGCCGTCCTTTCCGTCGCGAGCCTTCCCGGCTTCTCGCGCAAAGTCATGTGCGAGGTCCCGAGGAGGTACAACAAAAAGACAGGGACCTCTACGAGGTTTTTTTTAGTTCTACCAACAAACTTGCATCACCTTCAGTGGCCAAACATACTAGCAAGTTGAAGGAACTCCGACTGACTCACACATCTCCGGTCCGATTTTAGAACTAGTTTTACGTAAGGTAAAAAGAATTGAGTTTAGTTACTACAGTTTTGCGTTTCGACGTATCTCGCTGATGCTACACAGAGGTACAGGCCACAAGTCCGATTTTCCCAGCAAGATAATCAGTCAGCCCACGTAGCAAACTCTGCTAGTTCATTTCCATGAAACCAAAATCGACTGTTGACTAGCTGGAGGAGGTTCTAAATACTTCCCTTTTGCTGCTCTCCCTTTGTCCCTGATGGTATATTCATGTAGGGTCCCGAATGCTTAGTTTAGCGAACTCCCCCATCTTAGTGACCGCTTTCCTTCCGCAGAACGATTCTTCCCGGGACTCAGTTATTTTCGTGTGTTCATGAAATACCTGCATACCGCGCAGCCTGGCTGTCTACACGATACCAGGACTGTCATGCCATTAACTTGTCAGTTTGATTTGCAAATTGGTGCTTTTTAGCCTTTACGAATCCGACTCCATTTATCGAGGGTAGAAGTGCCCACTGTGGTGTTGGGTAGTCACATCTCTCCATCTTTCCCCTCATCTGGGCCGACACCGGAGACACGTATTTCTCCTGGACCCCTGCCAAAACAAACTCTTCCCTCTGATTTTCCGTCATCAGGTCTTCAAAATGGAGTAAGTATACCCTTGGGGTTTATTATTTGTTCTAATTCTCTTCCGCTTTCTCGCTTTGGAGATTGAGACGTATGAGTGGGAGAATAAGTGGTAAAACAGGAGTTGTTTCATAAATTCGGCCTTGTATCCTCGCTCCGCATTTAAGGAAGCCATGAAGAGGCGCTTACCAAACTGATCATGACTATGTCAGTGCAGGTGGAGCATTTACCCGGTGCTTCACAGTTAGGGCAAATGAATTAATACTTGATTTCCGTCGTGCCTGGTCCACAGTAAGTTGACACTTCGCTGACGCTAAAGCGTCAACATCCTAGTGACCAGGCACTGTGTGACAAACTTTTACTTATAACGTAGTCATTCAGCTTTTCATATTTAGAAAATCGAGCTACGGTGGTTTCGAATGTGACATAAGGCCCCCTCTCGCTCTATCTACAGTGTCTGGCGTAACTCATAAAGTGCACCCAGATCTACAAAACATTTCGAATCACTTGGAAGCCGGCCAAAATGCAGCGACCAAAAGTGTCAGCCAGTAATAAACGACGTTAAGTGAAATCAAATGATAAAGAAGATATTAACAGTAGTACTACGTTGCTTAGGAGCAACAATGTTCACGCGAGAAGCTGTAATACCAAAAACGCGAAAAATCATGTCAAATGTGTAAACTCGGGTTTTAGAGGTACATTAAACTTGTCCATGCAACGACTGAGTAAATAAAAGAACATAGGTAAAACAAAATTTAACAACCGTCCTTTAGTGAGATTTGCACTTAAATATCATCCAAGAGTTAGCGTAAAATAAATTATGGTCGTTAGCCAGCTGCCTACAGTTTAAATATTGATTCCAGAACGGATTTTCCAGAAATCGCCGCAATCTCCCTGTTTCTGCTTTGTTCAATATGCGGTTGATTAAGGCAAGAAGAATGTCGCCTGATGTCACTGATAGAGACTTCACAGGAATAAGTTTCCATAAAGTCATACGTCTACAGCCCGATAAGTGGCTTCTAAATTTGAATAGAATTGGCATATGCGAATCGTGAGCATATCATATCATATATTTATATTAAGAGGACTTCTCTTTCGTCAAATTAATGGATGGCTTTTGGTGACGGAGTCCGTCAGATTTCAGTGTCCTCGATATACCTTTGAATATAGTTTTCAGTGTTTTCAATCGACTGTCCAATAAGATCAATTCTTTGCAGTCTATTAAAACTTTCAACACAGGATATTTTATGAAAGCATTTACGGAAGTGGTGAGCTCTTAGGAATTTTATGCAGATGGCTGTTTCGGTCAGATTTAAAGAGTCACCCAAACGTGAAACCTCATCGCGAAAATCATGAGCGTTTACAACGAAATTCGGTGATGAATATGCCCATGATCAACGGAGAAACTTTTTGTAAGCTACCTCTTGAAAGCGCTTTAATAAGATATTTTGCCAAAAAATATCCACATACTTTGCCCTTTTCCAAGGTCAAGTCATGGAAGGAATTGGAGTGTTTGGTCGACCTTCTCACTTCCCTGAAAAGTATTGATAATGTTTTATTTGCAACCGAAATAACTCACATTCCTCTTTATGTTGAAGCCACTTTCGCTGCCTTTGCTTACTCTTTGTCGGCGGTGAAGAAGTCCGTGCTCCTTTGAACGTCCTCTTCGGTCGTGGTGTTGAGTGCGCAGTCTTCAACGAAGAGTTGGTCTTTGAGAGACACGTTTAGGCCAGTATGCGCCGGCTATTGAGAAGATGCCCATCGGTTCTTTAGGCGATGCGTATTCCGTGACGCTCGTCACGGTAGGCGCTCATCAGCATGGCAGAAAATGTGAGGCTTAAGAGGGTTGGGGCGAGTACGCAGCCCTGCTTTAAGCCGTTGGTTACTGCAAATGCTTTTGAGATGGTCCCGTTGTCCGTGACGCGCGCCATCATCCCCTCGTGGAACTGACGCACCATGTGCGTAAATCGCGCCAAATAGCCGAATTTCCGCATGATTTTCCACATTTCATCGCGATTCATCGTTTTTTTTCAGACCCACGAAGGTAGCGTAGAGGTCGGTCCGTATTTCCTGACACCTCTTGCAGCTGGCGGGCAGCAAAAATCATGTCGGGGGTTTCACTGTGCCGGCGAAAGCCACACTGACTTTCCGGTAATAGCCTCTGTTCAAAGTGAGATGGTTGAGGAAAATGCGGGCGAAGATTTTCCCCGCGATCTTTGGAAGCGAGATGCCACTTCGGCCATCACACAGTTGCCGCTTCTCTCTCCGCTTGTAGACATGTCCAATCATCGCATCCTTGAAATCCTGAGGAACTCGTCTTGGGTGTCACATCTCCCGGAATAGCGTTGCGAGTTTATCCATCAGCGTGGGGCGGCCGTGCTTGTAGATGTCAGCTGGAATTGCATAGGAGCCGGATGCTTTTCCGCTGGTAGGTTGGTTCACGGTGAGGATTGTTTCTAGACGAAATGGGGGCCGATTCAGGTTGATGTTAATTTCCACTTGGAAGAGTCGTTCGATGGCGTCGTCGAAGATGGTTGATGCACGATTGAGAACACTTCTAAAGTGTTCGGCCCAGCCTTTTAGGATCTGCGACTTCTAGGTTAGAAGTGTTGTCCTGTCGGCGCTGAGGAGCGGTGCGGTTCCTTTGGTTGGGAGGGGGGGGCGGTAGACCGCCTTGAGTAGTGCGAAGAAGTTCTTGTTTTTTTTGCGGCCGGCGAGTCATCCAAGCGTCCTGCATATCCCACTGTCGTTGCTGTACGACGCGATGATAACAAAAGAAGGCCACATTGTTGACGTCGGTCCACATATTGGCTTTGTGCAGCCCGTGCTCTTCAGTGAGAAGTTGGCTGACGTCGACATTGTTGTCGTCAAACCAGTCCCGGTGTTGGAGGCTTGCACGGTCGAGTGAATAGCATCCCGCAGTTGACATTATCGAGTCTCCATGGAGGCGTTTTCATGGGGAACTTGCAGGTCTCCCAATCTGTGGGCCAGTTGACTGCTGAAATGAAGACGGTCAAGAGGTAGATATAACAAAACAGTACGTAATTTACCTGGCGGTCGCTTATCTTGTAGCCTCCTGCGATTCCGCAACCAGATCTTCGTCATCGATAAGACGAGGCGGTAATCTGTCCAGCTGTCGGCGTCGCAGACCGCCATGTCGGTTCCGTCCTTGTCCTGTCGGTCTCGCCTCCTAACGAGGACATAGTCCAGCAGCATCCATCGCCTCGATTTGGGCTGCATCCAGGTCGCCTTCTTCTGCATCAGAAGGCGGAAGGTGTTGGTCAACAGGAGCCGCTGCTCCGCGCAGGTTCGTAGAAGGGAGCCGTTTTCTCTACAGCCGCAGCGACCATGCGGACCCAGCACTTGCCCAGGCAGTATGGTCTTTGCCGACGCGGGCGTTGAAGTCGCCAAGGACAACCAGTTTATCCACATTTGGCACAGGTGCCAGGAGGGTGTGCTGGTTCTCGTAGAATTTGTTCTTTGCCTCCTCAGGGCTGGTCATTGAGGGACGTAGGCGCTGGTGATAGTGACGAATTTGCATTCCCAAAGAGACAGGCGCAGGCCTATCACTCGGTCGTTGATGTCCTACGGCAGACAGGGCAGTCTTCCCACGGTAAAACGGAATTGAGGAAACTGTCGCTGATTGTAACCTTATGCAATCAGGTTAACCCCAAACCGAACACTAACAACTAGCCATAACCCTAAATCTAGTCCTAAACCTCGGTGCGCCAACTGTAGCACACCTACTGAAATTAATGCTAGTAGCAAAGTGATAAATTGTTGGCCAAAGGCCGCGTTTCCTAGCCTCGCCAGGTCTTCACATGTCACCGAACCGGCTATCTACATGAAGCAGGACGTCCAAACACTCACTGCTTCAGTAAATGCCTTCAAAAAATATCTTATTTTGGAGGTTTTTATAAGTATACAGCACAGAATCTGTCTTTGTGGGCAATTACTTTAAAGCACTGAAAATCCTAAAGTGGAGACGAAAGATGGCCAACAGTCGGAACATTCTGTTTGTTGTTCTGATCTTTCGAACTCGTTCAGGAATCCATCGTCAGAGATGGTATCAGCAACAGAACGAGCGACAGTTATGGACTGTGTTAGCCAATCATCGATCGACTGCGCAGGGCGAGGATTGATTGAAGCCTGGGCCTCAGATGAGAACTCAGTCACTCGATTTATCGATCTGGAGCCGTCGCACAGAGTCCTGCGCGCTCACCTCCAGCCTTGCGCCGTCGATCGATGATTGGTTAACACGGCCTACAACTGTCGCTTGTTCTGATGCTGCTACTATCTCTGAGGGTGGACTCCTGCACGAGTTAGAAAGATCAGAACAATAAACTGAATGTTCCGATGCCCGACCGCCCTTCTTCACTTATACATACATCTGGGACTCGAATTTTAGCTTTTAATCGCGAAGTATTCACTGACACCTTAAGGTCACTCTGAAACTCAACGACCTCCATCGTCAGTAAAGACCGCGCATAACTTCGACCAAAGTTCTCCTGATATACATGCACAAAATGGTGTGCTTACGACTGCATATGCCAATTTTATTCCAATTTAATACCCACTGGCCGGTCTGTCAACATGTGAACTTATTGAAACTTTTGTTCCTGTGACGTCTCTGCCAGTGACATCAGGCAAAATCCGCCTTACTTTAATTAACTGCGCATAGAACAATGATAAATTGGAAAACTACAAGATCTTAAAGCACATTACGCACTTGAATTTTTGCCAGAATTCATATAACAGTAATTTTTGGAGAATGTTTTATGCAAATGTATGTGCAAAATGGTTTTTTAAACGTCACTGTGCTTTTATTTATTTATTTAGTCAGTTACTTGCATAGCCAAGCATTATGTACTTCTACAATTTTAGTCTTCTCGTGTGACGTGAATTTTCGCGTCTTCGACATATTCGCATTTCCTAAGGGAACTGCTCTTTTTAGTCAACGAAATAGGTGGAACACTTATTCTGCGTTTTCATTTAACTGGAGGTCATTTATTATTGTTTTGGTGCTTTAATGGATGCGTTCAGACAGATTTCAGATTGGTTAGTGATTTTTCCGTAATTTAAGCATACTTAATGAGTCAAATCGTCAACTGTGTTTCTGAGCATAAGTTTCTTAGCATGAGCAACCGTGAGCAGGACGCTGCGAAAGTGTCACAGAAAAAAAGCATCTAAGGTATCGATGAAAGACTTTATTTTCGACGATGCATCACCTGGTCAGCTTAACATCCTTGCAGGCGGAGTAAGGGAGGATAATTATACATTTTCCAATGAAGTAAGGTATCCGATATTGACCCACTTGTCATCAGCTTCCCCGGCAATCTAGATTATCTCTTGAACATTCAAATGGAATGTGCGAGACAGAAAAAATCGATTAAAAGGGAGTAAAAATCAATCTACTGTAATTTTGAAACTGGACTTCTTAAAAATCATAATACTTCGTCTGTCGTAACCGATATGGACCGCTGCTGTCCCGGAGGGCACAGTGTGACTTGTGCATAAATTTCCTATCGTGAAAGAGGCTTCTGAAGCGTCTTCCACACTCCCGACACCCATCGTGGTAAGACAGTCTGGCGAGTAAATATGAGCTTGGGCACAGTAGCCGACGCATTATACCACACCTTCTGATCCACAAACGCAAAAGAACCGGTCTTCAGTAAGGGACACGTCGGGTTCCGTATAAGTGAGGGTGCGATAAACTCCATTTTAAGAAATCGTTGTGGTCTGACCCTAGGTTCTGATTGGAACCCAGCTATCTCATCAGTAGGCAACCTTCCAAACCACGATTATTATGGTGTTGCAGTAACTTGGAACGCCTTTGGTTAGATTTAGTGGAGGAACTAAGAGCTGCATCCGATATGGACCAACCCCAACTCACTCTTCTTTCATCCGTACACTAGTCGCCTACCCGAGCCACTTAATCGACCGGAAGTGAGTTTGGTACTAGTGGTGTGAACCTCTTACGCGTCCCGCGTGCATGTATGAAAGTATTTAGGGGACCCATCGGAGCTCGAATAACGCACGTCAAAAGCCAATGCGGCCTCTAGTTTGCCGTGACGCCTTAGTAGCAGAATATCTCACTTGGGCACCATCACCACCACCACCGCCACCACAGTGATGGGCAACTGGTTAATCTGACCGGCGAAATGACAACAAGTCTCAGTGCGGGTTGAATGTGCGTAGTTTGTGGAATCACAAATTGCGGATGCACGTCAACAAATTAGCAAAAAACGTCAGAACACCAAAATTAGCAAAAATCGTTTCGAATAATTATCGTGTCAAATGTGTTTTAGAATGAGTGTAGTGTGCGATGTGGTACGCTCTCAATCGCTCGATTTTGCGCTAAATTTTTCAAAAAGTTAGGCAGGCTCCCGAGGCAGAACGTTTCTTTTTTGCGCTCTTTGAGATACGACTAAATACAGCTAGGTTAGTTGGATTTTCTGGTCCCAAATGTTACGAGAATAAACAAATTCTGCAAGGTCACGCATGTAAAACAGAGACACTGGCAGACAACTGGGATATAATTAGCGAAAGCCAAGCGGAGCAAACCATATCCTGAATAAACGGCCTTTCTTTTCCACAGAACTGCCGCGTCCTCTCCTGTGACGGGTCGTTGAGTCTCAAGGACTCCCTGAACAGCCAACTGACATGGCTGCTTTCGGTGCCTTTACTCGATTACCAAAAGATTGTTTCGCCGTTGCAGATTTATCCAAACGATCGAAATGTGACATCTATTCCGGTCGGCTGCAAAGTACGTAGGCTCTCGGGCTTGCCAAATAAGCACTCGCGACCAACAACAACAGGGTTACCAGGGCGTGGGGATCTATGGCCTGCCACGTCGACTGCCTTAAAGTATGTCGCAAAAACCCGATAACAACTTCGACATGGCGACCGCTAGTCACCATAAAACAAATTCGCCCGGTGCCACTGCCTGCAAGTCGGATTTTTGATCCAAAGCGCTAGAGACAAACTCACACAAACAATCCAAGCGACAATTGTGAAGCCGCCCGTACCCGAAATTTCCGATGGCCGGCTGGCGTACACACATGACTGAATAGTGCATTTTATTAGCACCTGTCTTTTCCGCATACGCGCTACCGACCAGCGTAGCTAGGAAACCTGACAGTTCGACCGTCGTAACCGTGTGCTCCACGGCAGGGTGAGGACAGGGACGGTGGACTTGGCTTATAGTGATGGTGGACTTTCAAAGCGCCTACTGCACTCTCCTGCACCGTCACCTAGGCCGTGTCCTGACAGAGTCAAGGAAGCCGGACGCTACAGAGGACGCAGCTGGCTGACACGACGAAACCCCGCACCTAGGCGTACCACCACACACCCCCTGATCCACAACGCACACTGACCGGAATGTTATACAAGAGGGGAGCGGCTCGGATCCAAATTGACGCGGCGTGAGCTTGCACGTGGGCGCGCCACCACATCCCCAATGTTAGTGCTTACTATGGGTGCGCATTCTTAGTAACGCCTGCCGGGCACCGATCTAGTTCCTGCGTTGGTCCAGTGCATCTACCGCGTGGAAGCGGAAGCTCAACAGGACCGGGGGAGATGGTCCGCCCAACTGTACTGATCGTCTGTGACTGGTAGACAGGTCTTCAACTGGCGGTCAACGCACACTGACCGGAATGTTATACAAGAGGGGAGCGGCTCGGATCCAAATTGACGCGGCGTGAGCTTGCATGTGGGCGCGCCACCACATCCTCAATGTTAGTGCTTATTATGGGTGCGCAGTCTTAGTAACGCCTGCCGGGCCTCGATCTAGTTCCTGCGTTGGTCCAGTGCATTTACCGCGTGGCCCCTCTTAGAGGCACACTAAGAAACCCACTCACAGCCACAAGAACTGATTAAGAGACTCAGGTCATGGTTTTCTACTCGCTGCCGGCCACAGATTGGCTGGACTGGACCAGAGGACCCTTCAGAATACTGTCGATTTGCCAATGCCGACAAACTTTAAGGTCCTTTGGCCGCAAGTCAGAGAACACACTTGGTTGGACAATTTTTACTGAGGCAAATGAGCAAACAGTTGTAACAGCCGTCTTTCCAGGTCTGTTGTGTAAGTGTCCGCCGTTTAGATTCTTAGTTCCTAGCGTTTGTGTTCCTCGTCGCCTGCAGCCGATCAGCGAATGACACAGCGCCGACTGGCTCCGAGCTCTCACGAGGCTAGTCCCAGCGTCGAAGTAATATGGAGCGTGGGGCGGACAAAAAGACTGTAGGGCAAAGTGGCGGCGCTGGCGATCGGGGGCTGCCACAGGATCCCAGCTAGACCGAAAGCGACTTGTATCGATGTTGAAGGGAATATTCGCCTACAAAACACGAGTAATGAGGCGATCAGGAAAATAAACGCGACGCCTATTGAGGGTGATATGTACTAGGGCACAGGATCGGAGTGAGTGTATACTTAGGCTGAAGGGTCGGCTACTTAGAAGGAAGTTGCAGTTGGTGTTGGCGGACACAGAGGAACAGGAAGGAAGCCACAAGGAGGGACAGATGGCAGGGGAGGTGAAGGAGCAATGGGGGTGAACCGGAGGAGTGTCAGGACAGTGGCTTTGAGACGGTCCACGCTCACGACCTCGCGAGTTCCGCGTTTGATGCGGAACGCCTTCGTCCATCGAGCGACGATCCGGATAGAGCCGTCGTAGGATGGTTCCAATGGCCGGTAAATTCGATCACATTGGAGGTAGACGTTAAAGCATGTCGACATGTCTTCCTAGAGATGACTTCGGAACCGATGCTCTGGGTGGAATCGGGGAGATGGCCTGCATGACCTGGCAGAGACGGCGCAGATTGGTCGGTCCCCCGATTGCACCGTTAGGTGTTGGTGAGATCGTCTCACCAGGAAGTCGGGCGGTGTTGCCGAACGCCAGTCCAGCGGCGGAACAAGCAAGGTCCACCTGTAGAGCGGAGCGGAAGCTCAACAGGACCGGGGGGAGATGGCCCGCCCAACTCTCCTGATCGTCTGTGACTCGTAGACAGGTCAAATCGCCCAACTATCCTGTTTGCAGCGGACTGATGGGCTGACGTGCGGATGCGTACAGCCTAAAAAGAAGTGAGACCTGAACTTTGGCAGGTCAGTCTTCACGGTTTAGGGGGCACCGAAGATGCCAACGTAACGACTGTGGAAGTGGGTCGCCGGATGAATCTATGCATGCGGATGAAGAGATAGAAACGGACGTTAGACAGAGGCAGGCGGCTTACAATGTTGCTGAACCTTGCTTCAAAGCTGGAGATGGGAGTCTTGATCCGTTGGACCTTGCTCCGTTAACAGCCAAGACACGCCCGTGTCCAAGCTTTAAGGTCCTTGTGCATGCCAAGCCAGGCGAAGCGTTGGGGAACCAGCCTGTAGGTAATTCTACTCGCAGGTTGGAAGAGGTTGTGCGGGGAGAAAACCTCGCGGCGAAGGGATGGTGGGACAAAGAGGCGGTGGGGGCGTCACAGAGAAGGGCGCCAAAATGGCCAGAGGCAGCTTCTGGAATTGGAGTCCGGGAACGTCCTCATCACAGGGAGGGCCGACACGGCGTTGTTCTGCAGCCATTTCGGTGAGGCCGATCCCGGGGGTGAGCTGAAATTGAACAGTGGAGAGCCTGAACAGTACGTCAGCCACCTCATTCCGTGACCAGTCAGCATGGCGGAATCTGAGGTCAACTGGGAGATATTGTCCAGTTGGTGAATCTTCTGGGGGTTAAACCTGTCGGATTACAATTTAAGAGTGTAAGAAAGTGGCTTGTGGTCACTGAACACAATGAAGTCCCTGTCCTCAAGAAATCTGGGAAGTCTTTTATTGCGAGGTTGACAGCCAGAAGCTCCCGCCTACGTATGCCATAGTGCAATTTTCTGAAGAAAGTTATGGGTTGGGTCTGACCTGCAAAGTGTTACTGAAGAACCGCGCTGACTGCAACACTGGAGACGTCGACCATGAGGGAGACGGGTGCGTCTGAAACAGTGTGTCAGAAGAGTGGCGTTGGCCAGAACAGCCTTTACTTTGTCAAAGGCAGCAAGGTGTCTGCGGAGAGTTCTAACGAGCCTTTGGGACCCGAGAAATCAGCGAGCGGCTGAATGGCATTGGCATTGTTCGGGGGGAGCAGGCGATAGAAAGTCAGCGTGCCAAGAAAATGCGGCAGTTGGTGCTTAGAAGTGGGAGGCGGGAATTCATGGGTAGCCGCAATGAATGTCGGTTTACTCCACCAGGTGTCCGAGAAACTCGAGAAAAGGAGCCTCAAAGACAAACCTGAAATGGGCTGAAAACAACGTTAAATTGTTGCACGTGGTCAAACACCGTTTCCAGATGTTCCATGTATACTTCAGACGTGGTACCGGCAACCAAGATGTCGCCAACATAGGCGTTGGCAAAGGGTATTCCGCGACGTATTGTCTTTAAGGTCTGGAAGACGTTGCGCAGAAACTCGAAGGGATTGGGAAGGTGGTAAGTGCCACCTCCGAAACGTCTTCCTGGGCGATTGAGATTTGATGGGGGGCCCACACCAGGTCGACCATCGAAAAAACAGACTTTTCGAATAAGGTGCCGGAAAAATGATGGCGCTGCGGGACGTGGTAGTGATCCGGGAAGGCGATGTTCAAGGCCCTGTTGCCACGCAGGGGCGCCAGTCACCAGCCCCGACATTCGGAGCCATGCGGGGCAGGGCGAAGCCCAAGGGTTTTCAGACTGACGGATGATGCTCACCTTAAGCATGTTCTTGAACTTGGTCTTGGCGGCAGCAAGACGAACACGCGCGAGACGGTGTGGTTGATGAAACGTGAAATTGCCAGTAATTCGAATACGACGAACAAAGACCCCGATAGCGACTAAGTGTGGTGGAATTATGAGTGTTCTGTCGGCGGTGGCAGTGGGTAACTGTCCTTAGTACGGTTTAAGATAGCGAAATGTGTGGTGAAGGTAAGTCCATTTGGTTGTCAAGCGCCACACAGAACGTACGCATTTAAGTGTATGACATCGGCGATCACGAGTGACCCTTTCCAAGAATGAAAGAATTTCGCCCACACCCCCAAAGTTGCTGCCGGTCGGAGACGCCGAACTAGATCTCCTAATTGGTAGGGGTACGTTTTCTGTCTTTCGGCGGCGGATTTTAAATAGTTGCGTGCGAGGTTGTGGGTTGGTAATACGTAACCATTTGGCGAGAATTCACTTAATGTGGGTAAAGGAAAACGCTATTCTGCTGGGAGTCGGAAGTGGCGTTCTGCTAGTATAAAGAAGGGTCCCCCCAAAACGGGCCACGTGGTAGATGCGCTGGACCAAGACAGGGGTCACACCGGATCCTGGCAAGTGTTATCAGAATGCGCACCATAACAAATTCTAACATTTCGGGGTGTGATGGCAGACCCTATTGCCGACAGTTCTCGCGCACATTGAAACCCCTGCCGCTCCCATTTTTGTTGTATTTTGAAATCCTGGTCATTTACTGCGTAGGCCAATCGGTGTGGTGTGGGGCGCCAAGGTGTGGGCTCGACCGTGCCACTTGTTCCCTCCCCGGACCGAATTTCGGGTGTAAAAGCCGAACGAGGTAAGGCTGAATGAATGCGAAAAGTACCAACGGCATTGTTATCGGCAGCGTGGGCGGCTGCAGAAAGCCGATGGTGGAGTTGTTGAGTTGCACGTCGACGGCAAATCCGTATTGCGGGTTGGTGTTTGTGAGACTGAGCAGGGGGATACCGCTTGTAGTTGAGGAAGTTAGATAGTAGATAGTGGGAAAGACGTCCGGATTCTGGTACTGATTGAGAGACTGCTTTGTTGGGTGGGATAGGAATCATGACCTGAATACGATGGGCCCATGACAGGATGCCGGTAACTGGGTTCTTCATATCGTGGTCACAGCAGATGACGCAGGAAAATTGAGCTAAATCAAACAGCGCATTTTGTAATGATTGTGCGGTTGAGTGTTGATATCACGTCGGGGTCATCAATATCGCAGCAAGCTAGGCCGAGAGCAAGACCCTGGCTACCACGACCTTTAGGCCCGGTCCTGAATAGGAAGAGAAGGTGGATGCCAGTGGGGAGGGGTAATACATTCTGTGCAGAATAACTGGAGGAGCTGGAGTGAGCATGTCCGGCGTCGGGTGAGCGGTATCCCAAATGTGTGAGGGAATGCGTCACAGCGTCTTAAGCCAGGATTCGGCCTTGAATCTGATTGGTCGGTTAGAAAGCCGCGTGAGCGAGTGCTAGATAGCCATGGGGTGCGTGGGCAGAAAATCGCGAGAAGCCCAGTGTTTAGACAGGCGTTCGGAGTAGGGCCACTTCACACCAACACGCGCCCTCCCCCGTCTCCGGTCTTCTTGACTCTGTCTTGATACGGGGTCCAGGTAGGGGAGGAGGAGGAGAGGGCGCGGCAAATGCTGCGCACAAGCCTCCGCCCCTACTTCACCCTGCTGCAGAACAAACAGTGGACATCATCGGCAACGACGGTCGAAATATCGGTATGCCATCATGGCACACGATACTCGTTTAGTCCAGTCGAGTGGATGGTGGTCATCTAAAAAAGCATTTAAAAGTCGCTTCAGCGTACGGTTGGTTTGCGCTCTATTGACTAAGCAGACAGCCAAGACTAATGAAGTCAAAGTGCAGCTGAAATTGATGGGTTTGGTTTAGGCTTTTTCCTGTACTCAAAGGAAACCAACAGTGCCCAGGAGGTGCTATAATTAACCTATTCGATTCTATATTTGTGTTCTAACCCCAGCGGTTGATCAGGGTTATGAGTGACTGATTGGAGGCAGAATAAACCTGAGCCAGTCCTGTATCAATCTGCCCCAGCCCTCAATCGACTTCCCCCAAGTGATGGTTCTCAGCCCCTAGGAAGTCGCGGAAACGCGTTATGACACAGCCGGTGTCGTACTTTAATTACAATCTCTTGAACGTTACAATGATAGCAAAACAAACGCGTTTCTTCACGTGACACGTCTAGTACGTAAGCATAAAAATGAATAAGAGTATCAGTGACTACGTTACTGTCACTCTACTCCACCTGCCGGACCACTTGTCCAAAGAATTGTTTGCCCCACACTTTGCTTTGTCTAACATGCTTAAATCGCAGAGTGGCTCTCCACTGGACTAATTGGCACTAAGAATTCGGTTGTAAACAAGTGCGACCCATGCGCACCAGCATCACGTCGGCGCCCTTAAGTCATTCCGCCCCGTTGACGAACAAAGTGACGAACAGCTCTCTACGACTAATCGTGCTATTGGTTTAAGCACGCACCCCCCCCCCTAGCTGGTGGTTAGTCTTTACAACACCTAGGCACTTATGAGGCCTATCATTGGAGATGTGTATCGAGCATTACTGGAATGTTCCCGTGCCCCTTCGAGTGACATAATTGACTGCAACACGTTATGTGAAGTTCGTCGATTCACCTTAGTCAGTAGTTAGCCACTTGGTTCCGTCATTTAAAACGTCCTCCATCATGGTAGTCTGTCGAAAACATAAGATGTCATTAGTGTTCACTGACAAGACAGTTTTTATCACAACAGACCGGGAAACATCGTTTTTCTGTCTGTGTGCTTCTAGCATTTCCATAGTTCTTGCAAAGAACTGTTTTTATTTCTTTGCTCCCCTCGGCGACGAGACCTTTGTCGTGGTAGTTCTCGCACTTCGTCCCGTCTCTCTTCTTGAAGACAGCCACGAGGATGCCTGAACCCAGGTCATAAGGAGCGACCTCGTCCCCCCAAGCTTGCTTAATCATAGAGCCAGCGCGCTAACGTCCACACAAGATTCGTGAATCACAATGCGAGTGCCGTCCTCTTTGGGGGCCTTGTTGCGCAGAGTCTGTTCTGCGTAGGCGATTTGTCCCCCACACAACACTGCATAGGCTGGAGTGGGATGAAACAGGTTCAGAAGGAAGCGATGACGTTGTGAGTTGGTCACGAGAACTCACCGTCTACCAGTTGCGCAGTGGTTTAAACACAGGTATGAATGAATAGAAGCGTAAGTGTCATCGATGCCGTGGCTGACTCCCCCGTTTTGCGGGTATGATCGTTAGCAAGCCACAGATAGTCATTCCACAGTCCCTCGCTTCTGTTGGTAATAATGCTCGAAGAATATAAGCCCTGCACCAGCTGCATCTTCCTTTATAGGCGCACGTCCAACAGCGACCTTTGCGAGACCCCACCGAGGTGGCGATGGAAGAGGACGCCAACGACGATGATGAGGAAGATAATTTACCCCTCACGGACCTCTGCAAGCGGGTCGCGGCACCACATCCGCATGTCACAGCGGCCGTTGTTGCGCCTCCCGAACCTCCACCACTGCCA